CATTGGTGAAATTTACCCCAATGTTGTGTGGTTTTATGCTTCCAAGAAATATTTTCCTCAAAACTCAGTTGTATGGAGTAATATTATGACAACACCATAAGAAGCGTTACCATAACTCCATGGTAACATATCTAATGTTACGTTACAATTTGTGAATGTTACAAAAAGTTTGTTTTATAATAGCGAAACTGTGTTTTTAGGCGTTCAAAATTACTCCCTCCGTCCTAATTCTTTCTTCCCAGTTTGACTTTTTCTCATTTTTAATTTTTGGCTTTGACTTCAAATTTTACCCTCCTTAAAAAAGATTTTTTGAAATTTTTTTTTTGCAATCATTCAAAATATAGAGTTAGAAGATAATTGGTGTAAATACACGAGGGTATTAATGTCATTTGTCATTTTTTTTCTAATGGGAAGGTAGTTTTAGAACGGGAAAAAAGGAGAAGTGAGAAGAAAGTTTTAGGACGGAGGGAGTATTTTATTAAAAAAAAACAGAGAAAAATTGTTAGTGTCCAACAATCATATTTCACACTCCAATGCTCGTATTTTAGTTAAAGTTACTAATGCATTTATCCAGACTGCAGTAGACTCCAATATTCAAATTCCAAACTCTAAACTTTTTTTTCTTGACTCCAGACTCTAGTTCCACTCTTGATAAGATTTTGATGAAAACAACAGATTTTGTATTAGAGTTAGCAATATACTCTGTTATGAATAATATTTTGGAAAATAGCATTATGAATTATCAATAATAATATTCCCTTCGTTCGAAATTTTTTTTATGTTTTGACTTATTATCCACAAAAGTTTGTGGTTTGTCTTAAATGAAAATAAAGAATATAATACTCAGTAGGTGATTAAAAATAAAAAAGTGTAATTTGTTTGGAAAAAGGATAAAAGAAACTAAATCGCATACGGGTACATGATTAAACAAAGGGGAATTTACAGTGCTATTTAGTGCAAACATTTCTTAAACAAATGTACGGTTAATTGTGAGACAACTCTAAATCAAAAGTCTAAATTTAAAAAAACAAAAAAACAAAATGTCTAAATTTGTTTTTGAGATATCGTTACACAAATGGTCAATATCATTCCTCGAAAAGCATAATCTTCTAAACAAATGAGTTGGTTTACAACCTTGCTACACTTATACCAAAAAATGTACTTCAAAGTTACACCAAAGGTATACACTAACATTTTGATAATTCACACTAACACAAAATACTAGTGCGTTAACAGAAATTTGCACTGACAATTTGTGTCAGTGTGAACTATAATTATAACATTACACTAACACAAAATGATGGTGCACACATGCAGTGTACAAATTGGGGTACAAGTAGCTTAATCGGTTGTTTATTTTGGGCTTATACTAAAATGGGGCTCGAGGACACTATTTCTATAATATGAGCTTCGCAAAGCCCATTATACCGCCAAAGTACAAAAGATGGGTGGGCTAACAATTGCTTGAGAAATCGAGAATTGTTATACAAATTTAGTGCCTTTTGATAATAATTTAGGTTTTGCTATTTGGAAAAAAAATTAAAGTAGGAGTGAAACATTGAAAATATATCAAAATAGAATTCTCATGTTTTTATTTTCGAAATTGGAGTTAAAATGTATTTATATTACCAAACGTGGTCATATGTACATTACCAAAAAAATATAGTAATGTGCACGTGTACAGTGTCACATTACCTCCACATTATTACAGTGTAAACTCCTATTTCGGAAATAAAAACATGGAAGTTTTATTTTGGTATTTTTTCTATGTTTTAGTCTTATTTTAGGGTGATTTTCTATTGTTCTTTTGGGTTGACAAATATTAACTTTTAATTTCTTCCAACTTCTTCCAGTTTCTTCTAACTTTTTCTAGTTCCTTCCAACTCTTTCTAGTTTTCTCTAACAACGACTTAAAAAAATATTTATATATGATGAATATAAAATAATGTTATATATCCAAATTTATAAGATATCAGTTCAAACATAGACAATAATGAATTTTTTTTATCCAAAATTTAAATTTTCTTACATAGCAAATTATTATTATTTCTAAAGATATTATATTCGAGTTAAGCGAGTTATTTCTAAATTTTCTTACATAACAAATTATTAGTAGACTAAAGATAGCAAATTACTGTTTCGGCTACCATTGTATTCGAGTTATGCGAGTTGAGATGTTACAATTATTACTGTTATTATTATATATTATTATTTCTCTTGTGAATATTATTTCTATTATTATTACTATTATTATTATTATTATTGTTACTATTATTATTAATATTTCGATTTTGATTATTAATGCTATTATTATAACTATAATAATAATAATAATAATAATAATAATAATTTTGATTTAAATAAAACTTATATTAGATCATATCAGATCCAATCACATCAAAACAGATTAGATCATATCCAATCAAATCAGATCAGATCCAATCAGGTGAACAGGACACATTGTTAGTCTTTTATTCTAAAAAAAACTATAAGTGTATTTTCCTAAGCTTTCTGAGGGTCCATTTCGTTCAACTTTTTTTCTTCTTATTACTTTTTCTTATTCAAATAAGATCAGACCATACTAGATCAGATATAATCAGATCAACTCAGATCCTATTAGATCAGATTAGACTAGACCAGACCAAAAGTATCTTTAAATATAATTACAATCAGATCTGATCATATCCAATTAGATCAGACCAGATCATGTCTTCAAAAATTCAGATTAGATCAAACCAGATCAAGCGAACGGAACTCAGCCTTACTCTCAATTCAAAAATTTCTAACTTCTTCCCGTTCTTTCTAATTTCTTCTAGTTTCTCTACACTACTTCTAATTTTTTTTTCAATTCTTCTAGTCTTCCAAACTACTTCTAGATTTTTTCAACTTCTTCTAGTTATTATTATTATTCTTCGAACAATGATTTGAACCTAACTTATTTTTGTATTATCTTGGATGTGTCCTTTTTAACATTTTATGCGTCATAGGCCAAATAAAAAAATAGGGCCCTGTTTGATTAAATTTAAATAAATCATCTAAAACAAAAGTAAAATATAGTCTTTATTTCTTAAATAAGAGTGACATATTTTTATATCTTCAAAAAAGAACTATTGCATTCTAAAAAGTTTGCAATAATTTATATTGACATTTCATATTATTTAGCTTTTTTGGTATTATATTTTAGCATTATTGGCATTATAGGTCCTTTTTTGGAGATAAAAAAAATATAAAAACTCGTACTTTGATTCTTTTCATACAGTTCACTTCTATTTTAATTTTTTTCTCTAAATTTTACTTCCAAACAAGTGGGGTTTTTAGGCAACATAGGGCTTGTTCTCTTCAACTTATCTGCTTAGTTTTAACCCGATTTAGTCAATTTCTGATATGATTCCAATAAAATAAGTAATAAGTAATAGTAATATGTTCAAAAGAACAAGCTCATAATATGTAAAGAAAGGTGTTAATATGCCTTGAATCTGTATTATGTTGCCGCTACACAGATTAGTAAGCGGAGGTCGTCTCGCCACGTAGCCAACATAACGTTGGTGAACCACGTTAAATCTATGTGTCTTTACGCTTTCTGTCTTTACAAATGAGGTACAAATTTTGGGTAAATATATCATGCTCCTAAAAATAATTTATTTAGGTAGAAAATATTGATTTGAATATGAATTTCGACCTATGATGATGGGCCGGGTGCTTAGTGAGAAGTTCAATTATTGACCAAATGCCCACAAGACCTTCTCAGTTCTCATACAAACTTTTTTTATTTAATTTTCACTTAATTGATTACGGAGTATAAAAATAATTAAGTCCATGTAAGAATTTGTCTTATTAGGACTCTAGGAGTAGCTAGGTAATGCTTCGCTTTGTTTCTCCTACAACACTTTCGGGCAGCGCTACGCCGCCACCGTGATGGATCAATGCATCGCTACCGATGAGTCGTAAAATATGAACTGTTTTAGTAAACGAAAAGAGCGGTGGACACTAACAACAAGCAGTGGGGAGTGGGAACGAAAGGAAAGCGGAAAATGGGAAAAATTTGGGAAGAGATGCATAGGGCACCCGTGACATAAATTCCAAAAATGTGCTTTCTGTTTGGACACGTTAATGACAGCGACAAGGCCCAAGTTGTGTGTGTATATATATTCCATCAAATATGTGTATCCTTACATTTATTGCTCTTCTACCAAATACATTGAAAAAGATGGCCAAACATTTACCATTCTGCTCCTCGTCACATCAAATACATTATCCCTCATTTGGTCAATGATTCCACAAGCAAAGTTATATTCATTCAAACTACTCCCTTCGTTCTAAAAAAAGAGTGTCACAAATGAAAAAAAACAAATGAGTAAAAGTGGTTTTAGAGAGTATGGATCAAGTAGTATATATGGATCATAAGAAGGCTCAAAGATGAGAGAGATTGTGGGAAGGTAGTATATACAACAACAATCTAGCTAGTTGAATCTTACAAGAATAGGGTCACGGAAATGTGTGTGAATGTAAACCTACCCTACCTTGAAAGTAAAGAGATTGTTTCCAAATATAGTGCATGTTATGTAAAAAAAAGGACGTGTGACTTTAACTTTGGGACGACTAATTTGAAAAGTGTGACTCTCTTGTTTGGATCAGACCGCCTCACAGGGCCAGCCAAAGAGTGGGCCATGGTGCCCTACTCGTCAGACCCATTTTCTGGATGGCCAATATTTTTAGTTTCTAAATATATATTGTATCTGTATTTAATAAAAAATTTTAAAAATTAACTTTTTGCAGTAGCTATCACGATATTTAATTAATCCATCCGTCCTAAAATTAACTTTCCTGTTTGAATTTTGCAGTCAAACTTGTTAAACTTTGACCGTATATTACTGAAAAATACGTTGAAATTTCATATAAATTTTTTATCAATACATTCATTTTGAACATATTTTTGAAATATATTATTTTTAAAATATACTACCTCCGTCCTACTGTCTTTGTCCACTTTTGACTTTTGGAATTGTTCATCTAAGCACTTTGACTCATCAAATTCTCTCAATGTGTAAGCCTAAAAATAGTCATGTGTGATCTTGTTTGATTCGTCTTAACATATAGATTATTAATATATAATTTTTATAATTTTTTAATATACAAATTAGAAGATAAAATGGATTAAAGAAGTGCATTGGATGGTGTGCCAAAAGGTAAGTGGACAAAGACAGTGGGACGGAGGGAGTATATTAATATAAAAATAAAGATATTAATGATCAAAGTCTTGTACTGCAGACTGTGAAAAGTCAAACAAGAAGTTAATTTTAGGACGGAGGGAGTATAATATTATAATTTTCTTATGTGTATTAATGTATTATTATAATATTAATTATTGTTTTAGAGAAAACAATTTATATAATTTAATTTCTTAGGACTAACGCCTACTTTTTTGGTCTTGTATCGGGCCACTGAATTCTCGGGAGCAACCCTGCCGCCTGATTGTCTCAAAATGATAGAGTAAAGGGGAAATGAAAAGAAAAAGAAAAAAGAACAAGTAGGGGTTAAGGTGGATGGGCCAAGCAATGTGACAATATCATTTAGGGGTGTGATCACTGGGCTAGCAAAGCGAGGTTTGGGCTTCTTGGTATTATTACAGAGACCCAATTGGATGAATGGACAAAATTGAACCCGAAAGGAATGTTGGAAACATTCCACACTTAGCTGCTCTGTCTGTGTACTAATAACCCCTACAAGTTAGCTGGAATTACTGACCCAACCCCCCAAAAAATAGGGCGAATTAAATTAAAATACTCCCTTAGTCCAAAAATTACTCTCTCCATTCCTATTTAACTGTCCGATTTGTTTTTCAAATTTAAAATTTGACCAATAATATTTTTAAAATATATTAACAAAAGTTTTAAAAATTATACATTTAAAATATTTTTTGATACCAATAATTTGGTATAATTTTTATATTTTAATTCATTTTATATTTTTAGATATAGTTAGTCAAACGTCTGACACACAAAGCAAATCAAACAGTTAAATAAGAATGGAGGGAGTATGTTAACGTTGCGCGTTATGATATTTGACTAAAATTATTTTATATGAAAAATGATGTGAGTTCAAAAAATAAAAATTACTCTGTATATATTTAAAACTTCGTCAGAATATCTAGAAAATGAGAAGTGACATGATAATATTATTTTATCAAATGAGCAACGAAAATTGACCAACAAAGTAAATGAAATATGACCATGTGAAAAATGAACGAGAAGATATTTTTTGGATGGAGAAACATACCGTATATCCCCTCTATCATCCCATAGTTTACCATCTTTGACTAACAGAGTATTTTTAGCTTAATTTATATGAAAAACTAGCATTAAATTATAAAATAAAATTTATGTATTTTTAAAATTATATCAGAAAATCTCTAACACGTAATACAAAAATATTGAAAGATAAAGTACGTAGTACGTATAACATTTGTAAAGAATCAAAGAGGAGGAATGAAGTATTTTCATTTTTTTCTTCAAAATTTGAGTCCGCCAAACATCCCCTCCAGTCTTCCCCTAGACTGACATAAATAAAGAATTGACAGATACCCAATTTTGAAAGCTCCGGGTCCACTTTCATAAAGCCCACAGATCTGATTTGTACTCTTTTAACCCTACTCGTTTTTTTTTTACATTTTTTTATTCCTCCAAGTTTTTAATGGGGTATATTTCCTACTCTCCTTCTTAAAAAGATTGTCACAATTTAACAATTTTTGTCAAATTATACACCACTTTGATTACAAAGTATGAAAAAAATTAGTTATAATGTAAATTTGGTAAACTTAGGTTTATTTTCAAATATAGTTTTAAAATATTAAATTTTTATACTCACCCCGTCCTAAAAAGTCTTTCATGGTTCATTTTTTGTGCATCCCATAAAACACTTCTATCCTGCCTTGAATGCCAAAAAAACTTTCAAAATAACTTCTACTCACAATAAAGAAAAAATGTTTTAAATTTTAGGCATTTTAGATGTCGGTAGAAGTGTTTTATGGGATGCGCAAAAAATGAAACAGGAAAGACTTTTTGGGACAGAGGGAGTAATATTTAATCATTTTTAAACAATACGAGTATCTAGTTATGGTCAAAGTGTGTCAAACAATGGCAACATTATTAGGACGGAGGGAATAGTTTCTTAGAGTAAGGAATACCTCTTCCGTTAAAAAATGTCATGTTATATAAAATGGAGTTAAATTTTAAGTTTTTATTAAATTTATTTTATTCAAAGATTGATATATAAATAAAAATATATACATTACTTATTTAAGAGCTACGCCAAAAGTTCTAAAGTTTTATTTATCAAATAATAAATGAAAACACATAATAAACAAAAGGTTTTAGAATTTTTAAATAATGAAGTGTGACCTTTTTTTAAGAATAGAGGGAGGATTTTTTTTTGGTTCAAAGACTTTGAGTTCCACAAATGAAAGGTCAAATGTTCGAACATTAGTAAGGAATGTGATAACCCTCTAACCTTCAAAACAACATCTCTTTCTCAAGCGGAGTACTCCCTCCGTCCCGTTATATTCGTCCACTTTTGACTTTTGAAACTGTTCATCTAAGCACTTTGACTCATCAAATTCTCTCAATGTGTAAGCCTAAATATAGTCATGTGTGATCTTGTTTGATTTGTCTTAACATATAGATTATTAATATATAATTTCTTTAATTTTTTAATATACAAATTACAAGATAAATTGGATTAAAGAAGTGTATTGGATGGTGTGTAAAAATGAAAGTGGACAAATACTCTGGGACGGGGGGAGTATTATTTTTCTAGTTTTCTTTTTGAACCGTCTTAAAATATAAAAAATACTCCCAACATTAATTCTTCATGCAATAAAGGAGAAATAAATTGAATTTTAGATATTCCAGATGGGGTAGAAAGTTTGCAGAATGCACAAAAAAATAGAATTGTTTTTTCATGAAAAATTTGCATTAAATAAGACTAAAACATAAGTCATTTTCTAATGTAGAACTTAAACATTTTTATTCTTTAAATATGACTTAATAATGTCTAGGGAGAGAAATAATGTCCAGTGATGGTGGACATTTACTTGAATAATGACTAATGGATAATGACCAATGGTTTTACATTAGAAAATAAAAATATATGGTTCTATATTGAAAAAGTCATTATATTTTAGTTCTATTTAGATAAATTGCTCATTTTATAAAATAATCGATGAAAATGTATAAATAAATAAAAATTCTTGTAATTTTTTAGCAGTAAATCGTGACATTCTTTTTAGAATGGAAGGAAAAATGTATGTTTCTTTTTAAATTAATTTTGAATAAAGGAGAAAGAAAGAAAGAAAAAAAGTAAAATAGATAACGACAGTGCGACAGTGCATAGGGTTAAGGATTGTATAGAAGTTGAAGTGCAGAAACAAGCAATGGGCGCCCTATAAATGCGGGCAGACAGACCATGGCGCCTTTCTTGAAGGTATATTATGCCATGATACCGTATTCCCCTTTCCCTCCGTCATACAAGTGAATTGTTGACATTATTTTAACTTCACTTATTTTAACCAAGTTGTTGAAAAATTAAAAGTGTATGATTATAAATTATACAAAAATAATTTGTAGTCATATATTCAATGCAAAAATAAGGAATAGAAAATAAAGTGCAAATTTTTTAAATGTCTAAAAAAAGAAGGGTAAAAAATTCTATGTGACCAGAAGAGTACTCGAATTACTTTTCTGAGAAAATTTACACCAATACTTCTAGATTTTATCCATTATATACTATTACTCACATGTTATATACTCCCCCCGACCTAAAAATATGGGAATTATTGATTTTTAAGAGATTTAAGAAAAGTGCATTTTGGTATTGAATTTCTAAAAAAGTCCTTTGATGTTATGGGTAAAAGTAGGATTTCATGGGTAGATTATTAGTGAAAAAGTATGATGTGATAGGTAGTGTATCAAAACGTAGAGGTAAAAATAATTTTTTAATAGAAATAAGAAGTGTTTTTTGGGATGAATAAAAAAAAGAAGAAAGGTTTTTAGGGACGGAGGGATATTATACACCAAAACTATTAGAAATCAATGTATTTTACATCGTTGTTATATTCCAACTCTACTGAGTCAACTTTGAGCTTAATAAGGAGAAGTTATTTTGGATGACATGACATTTTAAAAAATGAATTTACTTGGAGGCTTGAAGAATTTCAAATACCATCCTTTTAGAACATGTGTACGTGTATTAATCTTTCTCAACTCTTTTGATAGCAGTGACCTTTACATCGTCAGTTAACTGAAAGGCTCTTCGAAGTTCCACGGAGAGCCAACATATCAGTCACGGTTAAATCTACGTCTGACTTGTATCGGTCCTATCAGCTCTCACTACATACACATATTGCCTAATCCTAAAAACCCTGAGAGCGAATTAAACACTCTCCATACTCAACAATAATGTTTTAGAGATGTGTCTGCGTCTGGATGGATGTGGTAGTTTTGAATTGAAGAACATAAATAAATTATGTTTGTGATTATGAGTTGTTAAGCTTCCGCAATATTGAAAACTCAGTACTGTTTATGTTATGAAAAATATTATTGTGATAAATAAAAGTGTTTGAAATGTTTTAAATTTTTACGATTACCAAGTTAATACTTTAGTCCGAAACGGGATGTAGACCTTGACGGATTAGGGTCTTACATTGTGGGTTGGGCGAAGATGTGCTGAATTGCCACAAAACCGCAAGCACCTGTGGGGGTAGGGGGTAGGTCATCTAGAAATGCTTCAAAACTGGCTTCAACTGCACGTGATGAAACCTGCATCATCAATGTAACGTCCTGAAAACCGGTCTAGAATTTTTTTTACTTTTTACTACAAAATTAAATAAAAAAAATTGAAAAAAAAAATGTGAAATTTAAGTATGAAAAAAAAACGTTCCTTAAAAATGTCACTATTCTTTATTTAAGAAATATCGAAAAAAGAATTAGAATACAAACACCAATGATTAAATTGTTAGAGAGGATGAGTAAAAGCAATAAAATTAGTTTGGTTCTCTACTATTCACATAATTTGTTCAAGTGAATCTACTTTTCTTAACAAACAGATTATGTTAAAATGATGTGTGAAAAATATGGAACTTAACAATATACGTTTTATATTTTTCTAAAAATATTTAGTAATTGGAATTGTGGAAATCAGACACGTGATATTAATCAAACGGAGAAGGAAAACTTTTGGTTTTCCTCCTCAACTCCACGCACTCCACAAGCAAACCAAGGGGCACCCAAATGCAAGCATTGATCATCTCCATGATGGCAATAAGTAAATACTAATTTATTAATATTATTTAATTAATTAATTAAAAATCCTACCTAAACCCTTCACCACCCCTTTACTTTACCTATAAATAAGAACTTAAGGGGGGGCCGAAAGGAGAGGGTGAGAGGGGCTTAAGTGAGGTTGGGGGTAACGTAACGTAGCGGGGAAGTGCTGCCGACATTCTGTCTAACTACCGTTTCGTTAACGACATCGAAGGTGTGCCGTTGACCATAACCTTTAGATATATATACCATGTTCATATTTTTTTTGTTCTTGGTGCATGTTATTGTTTTTTATTTAATTGAATCTATTGCTATAAAATATAAGGAATGAAACATAAATTATATATATGTTTTTTTTCTCGGCGGTACGTAGCAAAAAAAAATAACTAACAAGTATGTGGTAATGTTAAAGGGAATTCATACACGAGCAAATCCTTGTTCACGTACATCTGTTCGTAAAACTTATATGGAAATCATCCAACATATATATACACAAAATTTCAAACAAAAAGGGTTATTTTTATAGAGCCGAAAGGTTATAGTCAAATACAAACAAAACCCTTTTAATTACTTTGTTTTTCCCCTTATGTACGAAATAATTTATAAAGAACTACTTAGACATAATTGATATACTTTTGACTAAATTGTTTCAAGTATATTTAATTTGTATTGTTTAATATATGGTGTTGAAAACTAATATAAAAAAAAGGGTAAATGGGTTCGGTATGTTATTTTCTTGGATTGATAAATGATTGGTTATGTTTTACATATAAATATATATGTGTATATAAATGTACACACTTTTATTGTTTAAGTGGTGAATTATTTGCTCACACAGTAACAGAATGGTTTAATTACAAGAAGGGGATGAGATTGTGGAATTTTCTTCTTTTTTTGAAAAAGATCAAATTATGTTTGATGGCAATCATGGCATCATAGTGTTTTATTTAAACGGTCATACTACGGTTAATCAAACAGTTAGTGGACGAAGTAAAAACTTCAAGGTTATTTTAACGACGTACCCTGACCAGGTACTGTCACGTTTTACTAAGTGGGCCAAACCACTTTCAAGGCCGGACCGTGTCCATGTGGATGAGTCTATAAATAATCCTACCACAACGTGCGCACGAGAACCCGACGATGACCCCGTGGGTCTAGGGTTCACTTCTGATTACTGGACCCGAGGTCACGGGGAGGTATCCGAAGTAAAACTACGAATCGACTAGTGCGGTGTTCCAGCCAAGTCACGGCTTAGTTCCTAATCTGTGGTTAACCTAGTAGGTCAAGTATTTTTTTTAAATGTCCCCAAGTATCTTTTCAAAGTGAGATTATTTACTTAATGATTTTAAAAAGCTCATAAACCCTGAGTAACTTAAAATGCCCAAAACAAATATTTTTACATGTTATATATGTCTACTGGTTATTTGCCACTCAGCTTATGCTGAGCGTGTAGTGTTTAACTGCACGCAGGTACTAGCAAGGGAAACAACTGATGAGGAGGAAAGCATGGACGTGGAGGCCGTACCAAAGAAGTTCTTATTTAATATTCAATAATGAATAAAACGTCGAACTAAATTTTACTTTGTTTTTTGGGCTTGAACCCAAGGTTGTATTAACTGTGGATGTTTTTTACTTTAAATTTACGTGGAAAACCTTTCTTTAAATTCTCTTTAGCTATCAAAAAGAGTATATTTCGAAAAAATGATATTTTACAAAGTAACCTGGTTTTACTAGCACTCTGGTCTGGATGATTTCATCCAGGGTGGGGTGTTACAATCAACATTTTAAACTTCAAAGTACTCACATGGAGAGTGTGAAGCATAAATAGCTTAAAACTACTCGAGTGACACTGCTTGAGATGTGGTAACATTGCCCTGTAATGTAACATCCTTGTTTTCCGATGAAAAGTCCATCGTTAAGTTGGCATAATCATTCGTCACATTGCCTAACTATTGTAGCCATTGGATTCCAAACACAATATCTTGAATTTGAATCTTCAAGACAAAAAGATCGACTATTGAAAATAGAGTACCTTACATCAATATTTGAACCCGGGGACATTTCGTGGTGCACGATAAGGAATAACTGTTTCCAACATACACCCGGAATGGTGAGACTTGTTCCACCATCAACTTAAGATTCTCAACAATCTTTGGATGTATGAAATAGTGGGTACTACCACTATCTATTAAAATTGAAACTAGTTTACTCGCAATGCTCCCATTAACACGTAGAGAACGTAGATTTGAAGCACCTACGACACTATCAAGGCTGGGGATATCTGCTGCGAGAACTGCCTCTTCACAAGCTTGAGATGAATCACCAGTGGATAGAGGATCATGATCTGAGCCGAATCGCATAAAACCTAAATTTGCCACAATCATATCCATTAAACCACTTGCTATGACCATTAAACACAAAGACCTTTCTTTTGGCGTTCTACCCTTTCAGCTAAGGTTTAACTACATACTAGAACCTCATTGGGTACATTAGGAGTAGATATGGAAGAAGTAGGCAATAAAGGCTTCGAAACTTTAATTGATTTTGGTTGCAATCTAGCCATTGTTTTGGACCAAGGTTTCCTCGATGCTTGGAGAAAACATGAGAATTGTTCTAAAAATGACGCTTCAAGTTCACGGGCCAAGGCAAATGCCTACATTAATGTCTCAGGTTGTAGCTCTACTGACGAACCATTTAAATAATATTCCAAATATGTTTGAAAAGCCATATACCTTATTTGGGGTGTGAATACACTAATTTTTTGATCATATATGCTTAACGTACTTTTGTGAAAATCTTATATTGAGACCATACTATGCTTCGGGACCTATGCATTGACAGTGTCCAAAATCAACCAAAGCACCCTTAATAGTTCCTAATACGTCTAAAAAGTCATACCTTGCCCAGAGTGTCAATTCAACCAATTTTGGATCATATGTGCTTAACATACTTTTGTGAAGATCCTACAAAAACTCAGGCTAAGAACAAAGTATGGTATTCTTCTTTAAATACCTGAACCAGTTACAGGGAGCCCCTTCGAGTAACAGGCCTACTGAACAAAGACGTTGATCTTGAGGCATTTCATAATAATTGAAATATTCATGGACACAAAAAACCCAACCATTGGCGCCTGTTCCCGAGAATTTTGGAGGTTTCAAACGAAGCTTAGGCATAAAGGGGGCACCGGCCTGCGAGTTGGTAGCTGGCTACCGAGTGTGGGTGGTAGCTAGTACACGGGGAGAGTCCATTAAGGAAAACCTGTTGTTGGATTTGATTGTGAAGGAATTAATACGACTTAGTGGTTGATTGTTGGCGGTCTGTGAAGCGTAATTCCATGTCAGCCAATGAAGCCAAAATTTTAGAGATACCATCGTCTTGAGCCATATGAAAGCACCAATGATACACGAGTGTATCAGAAGATCACACTTCAAGTGGCGATTAACTCCCAAGAAAAGAAGAAGAAGATCGAGTGAGAAGATAATAATCCATGTCAATCCTCTCTGTTCTCTTCTCCTTCGTGTGATCCTGATTAGTGCAGATGAAGCTTCTTCTGGTTGCTTGAATGGCTGGATTGCGCACACACTCTCGCTGGAAGAAAATAGTGCGAAACTATTTTCTGGCGAAGAGATCTTCTTCGTCTCTCCGCCTCTCTCCTCTCTCCTTTTCTGTTAGAACACGAAAAAAATGGAATGAATCCCCCCAACCCTACTGTTCCTCTTTTTATATCCTGCACAACAAAAATGGATTATCACATAAGTTTAGTTGGGCTTGATTCTCAGCCCACTTCCCTTAAAGCTTATATGAAAACTAATCACATCAGAATTTTTATACTAAGATGCTATTCTTTTGACCCCAAAATGTTCTAAGTGTTCAAAACACAGTTTAGACACTTTTGACCTTAATTGTCAGAATTAATCACCAAAAACCAACTTAATGCATAGAAATGTACAGTAAAAATGCATACAATACTTTTTTGAGTCAAGGACTGTTGTTTAATTATACACAAAAAAACCCTGAATGTTTGTATTCTTTCTTTACTAGCTCTTAATGTTTCTATTATTTTCAAGAGAAAACATCATTTTTTTTTGGAACAAGAAAAACATATGATACCTTTATCCCTGGATATTTGTCTAGTTTTTATTTTTTTCAGTCAATTATTTTCAATCTTTGACTTATAATTAAATAAAATATATATTGTACATTGATTGGATAAAATAATATTTTAAAAATACTTTATATAATAAATCTAGTAAAACTATTTTGGTTCAGTATCTAATATAATTTCTATTTAATTTAGGGTCAAAATTTATCAATTTTGACCAAAAAAAATCATAAATAGAAAAATTAGGATGGAGAGAGTATTTGAAAAGGAGGATTGAAATAGTGTAATACTCCCTAATAAGAATAAAATATCTTAGAAATCTTGTAGTTGGAGTAAGACACATAAATTGGAAGTTGGAAGTGAATGAATGACACCATGGCCGTATATGCGCATATGCATGAATGGATGTGAACAAAGATAGTACACACCATACAATCCAAGTCATTTAATTACACTCCCTAATTGATTTAAATTTTATGTATTTTTCGTATGTGATGGGATGGGTAAGTCACAATCCGAGTAGGGACCAATGGCTGCTGCAGTGGATTGTGAATAAATACAACTGCACAGAAACCACAATTCTATTCTCTCATCATAGTGCCATCATAGCCTTNAAGTCTTTATATTTTTTTCTGATCTCGAGGTTTATTTCTCTCTCATATGTACCCTTCAATCATAAAGCAATCGATTACAAAATGATTTACTCTCTCATATATCCATCCATCCATCTTTTCTGCTCTGCCAAAAAAAAAGGGGTTCTGTGCCCCTTCTCTGCCCTTTGCATTAATTACACCCTTGGGAGAATGGGCCATGCAGCGTTATTAGGGAGAGGCGTAGGGTCAGTCAGTCATCCCTGTCGCACTCATATGTCAACTTCTAATGGGTACAACATTGTTCCTAGCGTCAACGTATTGTACCCCTCTTTATGTATACTCCCCGGACTGTTCCCTATTTTCCCATTCTTCTCCCTCTCACTTTTTTACCATGCCTTTAATTTGCATTTTTTCACGGTGAGCGTTGTGTAATTAGCTAGGCAAGGAGTGATCTGGGTCTATAATGGTTTTAATTTCAGATAATTGCGCAAAGGGACAGATATGATGGTGTAGACTCTACTCTTTTTTATGAATCTGTGATTAAAACTTAATTTATTTCTTCTAATATGATCGATTGACAGATTTTGAAAAGTCCTTATTAGGGGATTGGGTTCATCCGTTTTTTTACTGTCTTCCCAAGGGGTTTCCTCTTTTAGTTCTTGGTTTTGTTTTTGTAAGTTTCCAAATCCTAAATAGTGTATTCAAAAATCTAAATTATAGCTCAAATTTGTGAATTTGGAACACAACGTTATTTTTTTATATTCTAAAAAGGTGTGAGCTTTGTTTGTTCTAAAGATCAAATTGTAATTGGCTAGAGTGAAAATATCCTTATAGCTTATACGTACTTTTACACAATAAATCGTTGTCTTTACTAAATATATACATTTAAGTTTTACATACTAATGTCTTGTTTAATTTGGGAACATCATTTTCGATTAGCGTTAGCGTTTTGGATAAAAACTTAATAGTATAAATTAATTTTGAAAATGTTAACGCTGATGTCAAACAGAACTTAACTTGATAAATAGATAGATAAATAGATTATGAATTCGAATAACAAACAAATAAATCTTAGTGACCATTTTGCACCGGGTGGACATTGGTTTAAGGCCTATTTGGAATAACATTAGAGATTAGCGTTAGCGTTTTTGATAAAATTTTAACGGTGCAGATTACTTTGAAAGCGCTAACGCTAAACGCTGTCCGTAGATAACATTTTAAAGCACTAACGCTATTCCCAAACATGCCCTTAATATTTCCATGATTTATGGTGTATTTGGATGGTGAGAAAGAGGAGGGAATGAAAATGCAAGGAAAACCCACAAAATGATAGAACGACCAAAGTAGGACTAAAACATTAAAAATATATCAAAATAGAACTTCTTTGTTTTTATTACCGAAATAAGACTTAAAATGCATTTACATTACCAAACATGGTCATGTACATTACAAAAAAATGTAGTAATGTGCACATGTACAATGTCACATTAGCATAGTGCAAAGTCTTATTTTGGAGAAAAAATATAAAAATCCTATTTTGATACTTTTCTCTATGTTTTAGTTCTATTTAAGGTGATTTCATTTCTATTTTCCATCAATCCAAACACTAACTTTTTTTCTTTTCATTTTCTCACCATTTTCTTTTCTATCTGAAGAATTGTATATTTCCAATGATAATTACAAAATATTTACCTCCCCTTATATACATGTAGGAGGGTGTAGTATAAGGAAATTACATTAAATGGAATCATACACAATTATGGAATCTACCATATATATAATAATCATATTAAATATGGAATATAATCTTAACATATTTAACATGCTACCAACTACGTCGGTGATTTCCGAACACCATGGTTGTGTCGAAAATCAGTGAAGAGCAGTGAGGAGAGTCCTTTGGTGAAGATGTCTGCGAACTGGGACGATGATGGTACATGGAGAACTCGAACTTGCCCTAATGCAACTTTGTCTCTAACAAAGTGAATATCTACTTCAACATGCTTAGTTCGTTGATGTTGTACTGGGTTCGAGGACAAGTAGACGGCACTTACATTGTCGCAGAACACAATAGTGGCACGGTGTAGTGGCTGATGGAGTTCAAGCAGAAGATTTCGTATCCAGCTGGTTACAGCAACAGCCCTATACTCTGCCTCAGCACTAGATCGGGAAGTAGTGGCTTGCCGCTTAGAAGACCATGAGATCAAGTTTTCCCCTAAGAACACACAATAACCAGAAGTAGAGCGTCGCGTATCCGGGCACCCCGCCCAGTCTGCATCAGAGTAAGCCTGTAGAAAATCCGATGGAGAGCGAGAAAGAGTGATCCCATGAGTGACTGTGCCTTGAAGATAGCGAAGGACCCGTTTTAGGGCCGTAAGGTGTGTCGTGCGTGGGGAGTGAAGATAGAGACATAACTGCTGAACGGCATAAGTGAGATCTGGTCGAGTGAATGTAAGGTACTGAAGTGCACCAACAAGAGAACGATAGAGAGAGTCATCGGCGGTGGGTTCTCCAGAGGTGGCTGATAACTTCCCTTTGGAGTCAACCGGTGTAGAAATGGGCTTACAGTGTAGCATACCTGCCCTATCGAGGATTTCCTGAGCAAACTGCGTCTGGTGCAAGAAAAGATTGCCGTCTTTGGTACGTTGAACATTAATGCCAAGAAAGAAATTAAGTTCCCCCATATCAGTCATGGCAAACTCCCCCGTCAGACGTTCCGTGATCTGGGATAAAAGTGTAGTAGTCGATGTTGTAAGAACAATATCATCCACATATAAGAGTAAGTATGCCATGTGAGACCCATGCATGTAGACAAAGAGAGAAGAGTCTGTTTTGCAGCTTTGGAAACCAATGTGCCGGAGAAAACCTGTGAATCGTAAATACCAAGAGCGGGGTGCCTGTTTCAAACCATATAGTGCCTTCTTGAGTTTGCAAACGTGGTATGGTCGTGAGGGATCCTCGAAACCAGAAGGCTGCTGGGCATAAACAGTTTCCTGTAGGTGGCCATGGAGGAAAGCATTCTTGACATCCAGCTGGTGTATGGGCCAGCCCTTAGAGAGGGCGAGACTGAGGACAATACGGATGGTGGCCGGTTTGATGACCGGGCTGAACGTTTCGCTATAGTCGACGCCGAAACGTTGGTTGAAGCCTCGAACAACCCAACGAGCTTTGTACCTGGACAGATCACCTGTGGGGCCAAACTTATGTCGAAAAAGCCATTTTCCAGATATCACATTTTGGGTGGGGGAGGGGGGTACTAATTCCCATGTGTTATTCTTGATCAACGCATTAAATTCATCACACATTGCATCATGCCAGTTGGGATCTTTTAGTGCGCTACGGTAGGTGGGAGGAAGT